CATTTCTTATCTCGTTTAGTCCGCTGGCGTGGTTCATGGCTCTGAGGAGGTACGAAACTTATTGGCTGGGCAATCTCAAGGGGGGCCGTTTTTGTGGTACTGTGTTCGGCTTTAACCAGCAAAGCATCATCTTCTACTTTGCAGTATTCTTCTACTTTCTTCATCAACCCCCAGACTGTTTTGGGGGGTCTTCTGGTCAAGGAACTGCGGAGAGCACTATCTGGGTGTAGTCCCATTTTGAAGGCGATGATGGCCATGGAGTCATTGCAAGCATCATCTACAAGATTAAAGCATTCTCAATATTGTGCCGAATATGCTCTTAGCGTCTCTCCTAGCAGGATTTGCATTGCCCAGAGAGAGTCGGCTTGTTTCGACTGGACCTCATTTGTGATGAATCTGGCCCTGAAAGACTTCTGTAATTGGTGGAAGGTTTTGATCGAAGCCGGCTCCAGTTTGTAATACCACCTGACAGCTAGTGGTCCCAAACTGCTGGGGAATATTCGGCACATGAGGGCTTTGTCATCTGCATGCAATGTCATGGCTTGCTTGTAGTGACGGATATGATCAGTGGGGTCTGACTTGCCATCATAGAGAGTAAATGACGGAGCTTTAAACTTTTTGGGCAAGATTGCCCTTGCGATTCGTCGCACAAAAGGATGATGCTGGTCCTCGTCATCTGAGCCGTTTCTTCTGTGCTTATGCCTTACGCGTGGGCTCTCTTCAGAGTAGTTGGAAGTTGTAGGTCGTCCTTTCTTTTTGGGCTCCAGAGATAGTGAGTCGGAGTCGCTATCAGTGTCTTGTTGCCGGGCTCGAGGTCGTCGACCACCTACTTTCAGAGGTCACTCCGGGTCTTGGCGCACGACTTGTTTGGACTTTAGCACCTCCAGTGCCAGATCCTGACGGAGATGCTCGTTCTCAGCGATCATGTTCTCCAACCACTGCTCGTTTTGCTTTGCCTGCTCCATGATCGCCTGCATTGCCTCATGTTCTGGAGTCGAAGGTGAACCGAAGTTCAAAGCGCGTCTTACTGGGTTAGGCTCCGGTCCGTGCGTGTTTGTTGGAGTGAAGTCGTCTATCTGTGTGGTGTCATCAGCGACTATTAGAGGGTCCTCCGTCGCGTCCGCCATGGATGTGCTTGAGTATTCCCACAGACGGCGCCAATTGTGGGGAAGTGATTTTAGGAAATACTCTTCTGAACCTGGGGGACGCTCGTGATCCACCGATAGGCACCTGAAAGGAAGTAAACACTCCGGTCGGGGGTGCCGGAATTAGCACTCCGACGGAGAAGTCAGTCTCTCGTTCTAGATTACTTGTATTCTAAGTTAAACACCACAATTATCACATACCTTTCTCAGTTTGCTATTCCTTTATTTATACTCGTTCTCTAGACGTCGGGGCCAGGTCTACTTTTCGCTCATTATGTTCATATTTACCCGGCTTCATAGCTCAGTACCTATTTGGCCCATCTACCCTTTATATTCGGCATCCTGATGGTTCTGGACAGAGCTGGGCAATACCTGTCTGTTAAAGTATGCCTCTTTTAAAATTCGGCTCCCACATAATTTTTTTCATTAATAATGTATACATGTTAATTTGGGTGAATTATACTTTACTCCTATTATGTTTGACCACTTTTTCATTTTGACCCTTAAAATTTATTTATTTTTTCACTTTGACCATTTATGTTTTAAGTTTTTTCAGTTTACTTTTAAAACTAATTTCTGTCTGAAATTAAACATAAAATATCACAATAACGGTCACATAATATAAAAAATATATTATTATATAAGAGTTTAAATTTATATTAGAAATGTGAGTAATATTTAATAAAATATTTTTATATCACGTGATTGTTATTGTGTCATTTTTTGTCTAATTTTTAACAAAATTAACTTTAAAAATAAACTATAAAAAAACTTGAAATATGAAGGGTCAAAACGAGAAAAAACAAATTTTAAGCGTTAAAGTAAGAAAGTAATCAAACATAAAAGAGACAAAGTATAATTTACCCTATTAATTTAAAAATTAAAAACTCATATTATGGAAATTAATTTTGTGACGAGCCCACTGGATGGGATGAACGGATCAATCACTAGGCAATCCAAGCTGTCATTGAGGCCTCGAAAATGAGGCTCGAAATTGCCTCGAATATTTATTTATTTATTTATTTATTTATTTATTTTTTGGGTTAATACATTGCAGAAAAAAAAAAAAAATCAAACCCCCCCCCCGAGAGAGAGAGAGAGAGAGAGAGAGAGAGAGAGATCTTCCTAACAATGGCTTCCATTTTAGCCTCTTAAGACCCCAGGTATAATTTTAGCTTCAGATGAGAGAATGGTTGATTTTTGGGAAGTAGGTTGATTTTTAGCAGGTTGAAAGAAGAGAGAAGAGACTAAAATGAGAGCAGATGAGAGAATGGTTTTTAGCTTCCGATAGAGGTAATTGTTAGAGAAGAGAGAAGAGAAGATATGTTTTTCGGGCCACTCTCGAGCCAAATAATTTCGAGTTACGAGTCTTTTTCCATATGAATATGAATTGAATTGTCTTTTAGTTGGTCAAGTAAATTAGATTGTCTAGTTTGAGCCTTGTGAGTTTAAATGACTTGTTTTTGATGATATGAATCGTCTAATTGTGAGACTCACTAAATTAGATTATTTATATAAAAAATTAAATTAATCTTATATCATTAGTTACTTAATTTGATTATATTTATTTAGAACAAATAGATGAATTACTTTTATTTTCAAAATTATATTACAGTTTAATTATTTTTTAGATAAATATAATCTGAGTAAATAGATATTAAAATTCGATCAATATAATATTTTATATGAATGAGTTGATCAACAAACTCTAAAATAATAATAATAATAATAATAAAAAAAAAAAATTTGAACCGTGGAAATAAGTTGAAAATGGATCCACAAGGTCTGGATGGTCCAATTAGCTTGGTTAATTAATTAAAGACAATCCAATCCCAATAAATATAATCCCTTGGAGCTAATGAAGATAGTTTATTCGAATATAAATGCTGTTCTTCTTTCAGCTTTGTTTAGTCATGGTTTAAAAATAAATTTATTGACTAAAAAAATATACAGTATTTCATTAAAAAGTCTTAATTTACCTCACAAATAAAATTTTCATCAAAAAACCTACTTTACCCACACTAAAAAAAATCATTAAAACATCAACAAATTAAAAATGTGCCAAATTAATTTTTTTTTAAATGAAATTTACAATTTATCTGTATTTTAAAAATAATACAAATTCATGAAAAAAAATTATATTTTTTAACTATTAATATTTGTAAAATTTACTACTAATCTAATTTTTTTTTTATTAAACCACTTATTTATAATTTACTCTTTTTCTTTTTTCTTAAACATAATATATATTTTAGTCAATAAATCATAAGTTGTTAGCTAAATCCCCAAAAAAAAAAAAAAAATATTAAAGAGTAATGTTACATACTGAATTTGGTCTTTTCGAAATTGTTTGAATTTGTGTATGCCAATCATCTAGCTGGTCATCCGACAGATCCCTATTAACAAAAAATGACAATCACAGATCCGAATGATCATCCAACTTACATAATTCGGAGGATCTCAAATTCGTGTATCAATAATTTTTGTTTGTTAAAATCAAATAATATTATATGCACCAATTGGTATACCAATTAGTGTATTAACATATGATATGACATAATTTTAGAGGTTTTAAGTATTTGTAATTTATATAATAAATGGAGTAATAACATCGTGACATATGTTAGTACACTAATTGATATATCAATTGATGCATGCATCACCGATTAAAATATCTCTCTTATGTATTTGTCCATATTTGTATTTTCATCTCCATTTCCTTTTATAGGAGTGCTGCTATTAGCCCTTATCAATTATTTTGGATTTCCAATTTCTTTAGATCCCCACTTATAAATTCTAAAACTCTTAAAATTTATTTTCTCTCCCAAATAATATCAAAATTATCCTTGTAAAAATATTTCACCTATTCAAATGCATACCCCCCACCTTAAAAAGCTTTTCTCCCAAAACCCTAATAGAATCCATGATAGTGGAACCTCCCAAAGCCAATAAAAAAAATTGTGGTGATTAAAAAGTTTTTTCTTTGTTTCATTACGAGGTTTGTCAATCTATTTGATTTTTTTTTTTCTATTACCCCTTTTCACATACACAACACAATTCACTTTCATACTTTTTTGATTAGTTTTTTGTGATTCATCCATGGTTTCATTGCACTTGTATACTTTCTGTGCGAGCAAAACTAGGTAGAATTTTACCCCCCGGTCAATCGGCCAATCAACCCCTAAGGGTGGTCCTATCTCTTTGTTTGACTGCTTCGGTTATCTATTCCCAAACAAATAAGAAACGTTCATGTTCCTGAACAAATGAATAATGTTCAGACATGTGTTTCTAAATTTCGGTTATATGTTCGGGAATTTAGTCTCAGAAAAATGAAGAATAATTTTTATTATTTTTCCCATTGTTTTAAAGAAATTTAACCGCACAAAACCAATCTTTTCTGAGTTAAGAATATCATCTAAGTTATGAACCATTTTTTAACTTTTATTGTTGTACTCCTCTCATCTCATGGAGTTGTGGTTGCTGAAAAACTTTCATTCATTGTCATTGTCAGATAAGTGTATGTAATCAAATGGTTATCACTGTCGTTGTTGTAGAAATATTGCTGTTAAAGAGTTTTTAAGATTTTGAGGGTGGATAAATTTTGAAAGTGAGATTTGGGAAAGATGAATGGGCAATAATGGAGATGAATAATCTCATAAATTCTAATTCATAATGTAGTAAAGTGTATAAATTTAATTATAAAATGGGATATCCAAAAAAATTTTATATCTATTTTAACAATTTTATTTGAAATTATTATTATAATAAAAAAAGATAAAAAATAAGAATCCAAAATAATTGATGGGTACTTATAGTAGCCGTCTTTTACAGTCCCCATCATCCGGCCCCCTTTTTCCCCCACGTCAGCGTCGTCGTCGTCGTCTCCTCCTCCTCCTCCTCCTCTCTCCCTCTCTCTCTCTCTCTCTCTCTCTCTCTCCTGTCAATGACTCTGTTTTCGCAGTTCACCATTTAGTCAAAAGATCGGTGCTTAAGCGACCACTTCAACTTCGAGTGCTCAGAGTACGTATCGTTCATTCCGATTCCTTCTTCTCTATCCTTCTTCATTTACATTTTTTGCGTCGATATATACCATTTTAACTACTTTATTAAAGTTGGGCAGCACTCCGTTTGCATTATTCATAATCGATTTTTTCTTTTCTCTTCTGTTTGGTTGCCGAGAAAACTATCGGAAAACAAAAAAACTAGTTTTTATTTTTATTTTTATTTTATTATATTAGAATTGTGTTTCTTATTATATTGTTAATGGAAAAAAAATGTGTGTGTGCCGAACAAATGTATCAAAATGCGAGTGAAGATTTCTGATTTTGTCTGTGTGCGTTGTGTTTGTCTATTCGAATTCATGATCAAGAAATATGATGATTGAAGCACATTTTGTATATTCACCCCAAAAAAAGGCACATTTTGTGCGTATATACATGTTGCCTGCCTTTTCTATCAGTATATAAACACATTTCTTTGTAAATATGCATTTTCTGTGTGTGTGTGTGTTCGCGCGCATATCCTAGTTGTCTGTATAGCTTATCTGTGTATGTGACCAATGTATGTTTTTATCGATTTATCCATCTATTCATCATTGAGGAATTTTGGGTGTGTGTATATTTAGCAATCCAAATAGTTGAAATTGCTCTTTTGGGATTTAATTTTATTTTTCAGTCATTGGATTGAGCTTTTACAAATGGGCGATAGTGTTCCTAGTGGCGTGTCTCTCTAGAAATAGTTGTAAGCCTGCATACATCTCGCCCCCTCTAGACATTGCTTTAGCGGGAGTTTCATGCACTGGGTCGCCCATTAGTTTGAGTTTTTCTACAAATGAACTTTTTTTTATTTTTTATTTTGAGTATTTTTTCTAGGGTTCATATTTTTTCTGGCCATAGGTTTTGTGGGAGCACCAAAAACCTGCCATGGGTCATGGCCATGGCAATGGATTGGATGTGCCTCCAAAATATTCAGAAGCTCAAAAACACGATATACAGAATAGAAGCGGAATGTTGAAGTTTGTCGCATCCATGAAAGACTTGGTATGCCAATTTCCTTTTATTCTAATATTTAAATTTCCCTATATATGCTGTTCCTTTTCCTGAAAAAATCATCATTTTCCCTCATTGGATTGGTTGAATTTGGGAGGTTATCTTGACATTCATTTCTTGTGTTTAATTGCATGTCATTTCTTATCGCCATCTCTGAAGAAAGGGATAAAAAAAAGTGAGGGAAAAATGAGAAAATCATTTTGTGAAGATGCCTTTTCCAGTCGATGAGTTGTCATTTTTGCTAAAGACATTATAGTAATGACAAAATATGCAAAAAAAGCTTGTATTAATTTTAAGCTACACCTAAAAAATGGTTTGGGTCAGACCAAATATCATAGCTATTCGCATTTATTAAGAACTCCAGTAGTCAAGGTTTTGAGCTCAAATGAATTCGCCAATAACATTAAAAATTAAAATTTTCGCGGAATATGAATTTGTAATGTAGATTGTAAATTAAAAACAGATTCTGAATTTGTGTTTTGTTTCTGAATGGACATTCGCTTTTGTTTTGCAAAGTTGTTATTCATCTTGTACATGATGACTTGGCAAGCATAGTGCATCCGCACTGATACACGAAAGGTTTAATATAAAATATAACTTGTGGTTTCATTTTGGCTTTTGCTTGCTAGGATGGTCACGTGGCACAGATAAGAGGCAAGAGTGAAGAAAAACTAGCATCATATGAAATGGCTGACGAGAGAGATATAAATGCAGCACATGTTTTGGTAGAACTGGCCAATTGTGTTTCGGGTTTGCCTAAGAACTGCTTACAGTCTTTTAGAAGGAGCTCTAGTGTGTTTCAGATTCCAGAGAATAAGTTATTAACTACAGTGTTAGCAGATGGTAATAGCAAAGATGCTAATAGGTTGGGAGGAGATGGCAAGACGAAGAAGCCAACTGGTGTAAAGTTAAAATTTTCATTGTCGAAGGCAAATGACGTGGAGAGAAAGCAGAAGAAAAGGACAGTTGAGAATAATTTCTCTTTGCCCCATTCAAAAAATCAATTCATTACCGAGGAGGAAGAGGATAGTATGCATGGAAGGTGTGGACTATCAGATGGATGTCGGTTGACTAGTAGATCAGGGAAAAAAGGTTGGCAAAAAATTGAAGCTTTTGTGAGTGATGATCATGATGGACTAGGCATGGCATCTTTAGAAAGCAAGAAGGCGGCAAAGAAACAGAAAACAAAAACTGATGAAACATACGTGGAAGGATGTTATGAATATGATCTTTTATGTTCTAGATCGAAACAGTTTATTGATAAACCTATTCCTGTGAAGAAGAGATCAGGATTACAGAAAGTGGATGTTCAAACTGTATGTTTAGTGCGTGCGGTAAGTGGTGATATGCTCCTTTCAGCAGATGGATCTGTGGATGCTGAGGTGTCCGTTGTGAAACCAGCAAAGAGGAAGCAATTTCCTTTCATCACTCCAACCATTCATACTGGTTTCTCATTCTCCATCATACATCTTCTTTCTGCTGTTCGCATGACACTGGTGACCCCACATGATTGCAAGGATATTCCAAATGAAAACCCTGTATTTGTCAATGGGTTTCATTCTTGTGAAAACAAGGGTGTTGTAAATTCAGAGCAGGCAGAAGAAAGGAATATACCTTCTCTTACTATTCATGAAATTGTCTGGCGTTTGAGATTGAAACCTGGAGATCCTTGTATTCTTGAAACCGAGGAGACCCTTCCGGATTTAGTCAGAGGTGTACTAAAAATATTCTCCTCTAGAACAGCACCTCTAGGAGCAGATTCCTGGAAGCCTCTCACAACGTATGCAAAACCTAGCAAAACGTGGTCTTGGGTTGGTCCTCTATGTTTTAATTCATCCAGTGATGATTGCACGTCTTCTGAAGCATGGGGTCTTCCTCACAAAATGCTTGTAAAATTAGTTGATTGCTTCGCTAACTGGCTGAAAAACGATCAAGAATCACTCAAACAAATTGGTTCTCTTCCTGCCCCACCTGTGGCATTATTGCAACCCATCGACGGAAAGGAAAGATTCAAAGGCTTGAGAGCTCAGAAAAGTCTAAGCACTATTAGCCCAAGCTCTGATGAAGTGAGGACTTATTTCCACAGAGAGGAAATTCTGAGGTATTCAATTCCCGAGAGGGCTTTTTCTTACACAGCACTTGACGGTAAGAAATCCACTGTTGCTCCTCTAAGAAAGTGCAGTGGTAAGCCATCAGCAAGAGTTCGTGATCATTTTATGCTTAAAAACAACCGGCCACCCCATGTAACGGTTCTTTGTCTGGTGAGAGATGCAACTGCTAGATTGCCTGGAAGTATGGGTACCAGAGCAGATGTGTGTACTCTGATTAGAGACTCGCAGTTTGTTGTGGATGAGATTTCTGATTCTCAACTTAACCAAGTTGTGAGCGGAGCTTTAGACCGCCTGCACTATGAACTCGATCCTTGTGTGAAGTATGACAGAGATCGGCACTTGTGGGTTTACTTGCATGGGGAACGCGAAGAAGAAGAGTTTGAGAGTGATGGTACCTCTTCCAGAAGAAGGTGTAAATGGCTGGACAGCAATCTGGCTTGAGACGAGTTTCATTCCTTCACATCTCTCCAGTGAGACATGTTCAGACCTGTTCTTCTCGAGCCCCTTGGACGGCTTGACCATCGACATTTTTTGAAAGAAAATGAAGTTCGAAGGTGGACCAAATTGTTGGCTTGACTTGACTACTGCAGTGGTGAGTTTTGTTCAAATTTGAATCCAGAACTCCCAACTTTTTTTATTCATAGCGTAGATAATGGCTTTTAATACAATTGATCTGTGGTGTTGTGAATGTTTGGAGAATGAAGATATAGTTTAGAATATCAGTTATTTAGATGTGCATTCTATTTAAACCAAATTTTAAACAATTTGATCTGTTTAATGACACTGTTGGTGTGTGATATATTAAGTTGGTCTGCTTTTACGATGGTGGTGATGATAATGGTGGCGACGGCTAGTGATGACAGCAGTGGTTATGTAGTGGGGTAGTGGGGGCAATCGTGATGATAGAGGTGGAGAGGTAGCGGCAGTGGCGGCCACCATGCCATTAGGAGTCCTTTAGGTGTCCAGAGAGTGAAGTTCTCTAGAGTGATCCTGCAGTAAAACAAAACGATGGGATTTTCACTATAAGAAAATCTGATAAGCTATGTAAGCAATCATCCATTCAAACTGTTCACATGATTTACAAAACAAATAAATGAGAGTGAGATTGGGGGGAAGGGGAGTGAAATCAAACACATTACCCTTCTAAATTTTGTTGATGACCTCTGACCTCAATTCATGAAGCCTCTTGACAAACTATAAATTTTAAGATATAATACAAAGCAACCATCCCAGCAAAAGGAAAGAATGAATTTAGGATCTTATGATTCAGTTGTTCAAAGATACACGAGTGATGCACTTTTTCAAGTGCATTCATTGATTTTTAGATATACAGGTATCTATCAAACACAATCATATTCATTTGAGATGTAATTAACTGAGAAATGTGCTTAGTTTTTGTCATTCTACTTTCATGATGGCACTGGTTTTGATGCTTGAGCTGCAAAGTTTGTTTATGCTCCAGGAAGTGGCTAATAAGCTAGCTTATTGGTTTTTTTGATTTATTTGATTCACATCACTTCTATATTTTTTGCACGTTTTTTTTAATAAGTAAAAAATAATAATAATTTGGCACTTCCCAAAACAACCACCGAGATGGAAATGGAGGGATACTGTAGTTTTCTGATGCGTTTTGCAGAGAGATGGAGAGGGATAATTGGTGCCGGGATAATTCTTAAGAGAGGGAAAAGGGAAGAAGACATGTTTGGTGATTGATGAAAATGATTTTGGAAAGAACAGAGAATAGAAGAGGAGAAAAGAAAAATGGAGAAAGAGAGGATGAATCACATCACCATTATCGTCACCATCTCTTGTCTCAGCCAATTTGCATTTGAGGCTACCTGCTCGTCTGACTCTACAAATCACCCTTTGAAAACCTCTAAATCCTCCAACTCCACAGTTCTGCTTCCACCTTTATCCTCAAACTCCACCATGACAGATTCAATTTACAGTAGATGCTACAACCAAATTAAATTGAATAGAATTGCATCCCACATATTGTAGTACAAATTTAAATTGTATACCAGTAAAATGACATTGCGAAAAAAAATAAAAATAAATAAATAAAAAACTACAAGGAAAAGCAGGGGAGAGTAGGCTCAGACACCTAGCAAAATACTCAACCGATGGGCCTTCTACAATCCAAAAATGTTGACAAGTCAATAACACTTCATAACAACTCTTTAGATAACCCATCAAAAACTTCACCAAAGAAACCTGACGAAAAATAGAGGCTTTTGTTTGGACATATATATATGTTTTTTAATACTTTTGACAAACTTTTTCATATTTTAATTAATTTGTTTTTAGAAATATTTAGATTAAGTGCATTTAAAAAAATAAACTAAAATTTAATTTTTTTTTTTTACTAAAGATGAAAGAAAACCTGACAAAAATAGAGTTTTTTTTTTTTTGGTTTTTTTTTTTTTTTTTTTGTATTTTTCTTTTGATTCTAGAAATTTTTTTCATATTTTAGTTAATTTTTATTATTTTAAGAGTAATTAAATTAGGTAATTAATTTTTTTTTAAAAAAAGTACAATAAAATTTCTAGGTATTTGAGTCATTACAACATGGTGGAAAAAGGGTATTATAGTCATTTTACTCAATATAAATGTACGAAAAATGTCTAAAATATTTTTTTTTCCATTAAGTTTAATGGCAAAAATATTATTTTTTCATCAATTTTATTTAACAAAAATAGATAAATAATTTAAATTGAAAACAAATCAAAAAATTATTGTTTAAATTGATAAAATAAAAATTAAGAATTTATTTTGTTACAACTCACTAGGCTCAAACTCTCTTATGTTTTGTTCTCAATATTTTTTTAAAAAAAATTTACTAAAAAAAAGAATAAATTACGTTTAACCCTTTATATGTTTGAACATTTTTTCATCTTGACATTTAAATTTTTTTTCCCATTTTGGCCCTTTATATTTTAAGTTTTTTTTCAATTAACTCAAAAATCTAACTTGTGTCCAAAATTAAATAGGGAATGATATATTAACAATAATGTGTTATAAAAATATTTGATTAGAAGTTTTTAAACATAAACAGAGCAAATGATTGGTCTTGTTCAAATGATTATGCACATGATTGATTTTGTGATGCTAACTATGGAAGCTAAATATCGATACATGCAGGAAAGTCGAATGAATCTGAAGAAAATTAGGATATATATTATATTCGGCTCCGTCCTAGACGGAGCCAAAGCCGAATAGATTAATCGGCTATAGAACCAGTTGAACAAAAAGTCGAGTGAGAATCGACATACGACAGAAGGGCCGAATGAGCAATCATGCGATGGATTAAAAGTGGGTCCAACCCTAGGGCCCAGAAGTGAATATAAATAGAGGAATATCAACCAAAGAGAGGTATGTGAGAACAGATCCAAGAAACTTAAGACATAAGCAAACGAGAGACATATACTAACTTGTCCGTCGGAGTGCTAATTCTGGCACCCCCGATCGGAGTGTTAATCCTTTTTTTAGGTGGCAATTGGAGGATCAGGAACGTCCTTTAGGATCCAAGAGTATTTCCAAACTACTTCTCCACAATTGGCGTCGTCTGTGGGAATACTCAAGTACATCCATGGCAGGCGTAACAGAAGATCCTCCGATAATCGCTGACGAAACTACGCCAAGAGACATGCTTGGACCGGAGAACATCGCCGCACGACGGACCTTAAATTTCGACTCAGTAGCTCAGACTACAACCTCAACTTCAGTACATGAGACAATGCAGACGATTATGGATCAAGCAAAGCAAAATGAGCAGCGGCTGGAGAACATGATGGCTGAGAACGAGCGCCTGCGCCAGGATTAGGCCTTGGAGGTGACAAAATCTCAGCAGGCCGCATGCCAAGACCGGGGTCGATCTTTGGGAAAGAACGATGGTCGATGACGTCGACTCCGGAAACGCGATAATTACAGTGATTCTGGTTTATCATCCCTGGAGCCCAGAAACAAAGGACGCGCTGAGGTATCCAGCTCATCTGAAGGAAGTCCACATGTACGGCATAAATGAGGGAGAAGCGATGATTCGGATAAGGAAGATAAACACGACCCTTTCGTGCAATGAATTGCAAGAGCTGTGCTACCCAAAAAGTTCAAGGCACCGTCGTTCACCCTCTATGATGGAAAATCGGACCCCCCTAATCACATTCGTCATTATAAGCAAGCGATGACATTCCATGCTGACGAGAAGCCTTCATGTGTCAAATATTTCCAAGCAGTCTGGGACCACTGGCCGTGAGGTGGTACTATAAATTGGAGCCGGCATCGATTAAGAGCTTCCACCAACTCCAAAAGTCATTTAGGGCGAGATTCATCCCTAATGAGGTCCAGCCAAAGCAAGCCGATTCTCTCTGGGCCATGCAAATTAAACTAGGAGAAACTCTTCGTGAATATTCAGCCTGCTATTGGGAGTGCTTTAATCTGGTAGATGATGCTTGCAATGACTCCATGGCCATCACCACCTTTAAGATGGGATTGCATCCTGATAGTCCCCTCCGAAGTTCATTAACCAGGCGGCCCTCCAAAACCGTTTGGGCGTTAATGAAGAAGGTCGAAGAATACTGCAAAGTGGAAGAGGATGCCCTGCGGGTCAAAGCCAGACATAAAGCCGTTGAGACGGCCACGTCGGGAATTGTTCAGCCGATTAGCGTCATGCCATCAAGAAGCCCTGAACAGCGGAATCAAGTTAAACTAGATAAAAGGCATGACTCGTGCCAATCAAACGACCAATGTTCACGAGCTAATGAATAGTATCAAGTGGATAGCAGGCACACAAGGCACTCAGGTAAGAAATACACGGAGCTAGCAAAGCCGATCTGTAAGATTCTGTCGAAAGTTCAACACCTTCCGTTCTTCAAGTGGTCGCCCAAGATGACGGGACCTCCCGATGCGAGAAGACGAGATAAACGGTGTGAGTGTCATAAAGACCACGGTCACGACACCGATAGTTGTTACGCCTTAAAGAATCACCTGGAAGAATTGGTGCAAGACGATCGTCTTACGCAACACGTCTGAAAGAATAATTCAACAAATACAGTAGCTCTACGACTGGAGTCACATCCTCTTGGTGTAATTCATATGATATACAGCTTGCCAGCGTCATCCGAGGTGCATACAATTCAGTTGCAGTCTAGCCCCCATAGCCCGATGACGCCAGCGAAACGGCCCCTTGACAGTGGAAGGGTTAGTTTCGATGATAGTGACTTAGTTGGAGTAACTCACCCCCACACTAATCCCCTCGTCATCTAGCTACGCGTAAATAGATTTACCATTGAGTGTGTTCTTTTTGACTAGGGCAACACTCGGAAATAATGTATTACAAAACTTTCGTCAAACTTGGCCTCACCGATTCGGACCTATCTTCGGCTGATTACCCGTTATTCGGCTTTAATGCTAACTCGGAGTATCCTTTGGGCAAAATCACACTACCAGTACGGGCCGGCACTAGATCAGTAGATGTAGAATTTCTGGTTGTCAAGCTTCCCTCGCCGTATAATCTCATAATGGGCAGAACTTGGTTTCTCATAATGGGCAGAACTTGGTTACATACAATGCAAGCCGTGCCAAGCACCTACCATCAACTACTTCATTTTCCGACTGAGTACGGTATCGAACAAATTCGCGGCTCTCAGAAATCGGCACAGACATGCTATTTTCTTGCTGCAAAGAGACCAATAGAGCTGGAAGTGCATTCAATTGAGGTGCTGGATAGGAAGAGCCTCGAAGACGTTGGGAAGATCCCAAGTGAAAAGGCAACTGAAGCCCCGGAT